TCTCCCCCTTTCCCCCCCGTGTAAATACAGCATGTAGAGAGAGTGTATATGAAGGTAAAAGCTCACCTTGTGCGTCTTCACATGCGCCCTCCACCCCAACCCCAACCTCCCAACCGCCTCCAGCATCCGCGCGCAGTTGCGCCTCGCCGCAGCGACGTTGAGCACCGCCGCGGGCGTCGGCACCTCCCGGAGCGACTTGCCCACGAAGGCCTCGGCCAGCGCCTCCTTGGGCGAGGGCGGGTAGAAGGTGAGCGACGACATTCTTGCTTCTATCTTCTTCTTCTCAAGTTGCTGTCTTTTCAGTTGTAAGTTTGTAGTCCCTCTGAAAAACTGCAATTGCTCTGGAAACCAAATACCTTTTCCCAGTGGTAATCACAACGTAAGGTTTGTAAAAACAAAAAAAGATGATAAGAAAGAACAACAAGCTATCAACCTGCTGTCCAAGCCCAGATACCTTGTTCAGTGTTTGTGAGAGATAATGTAGCTTCTTGCGACATCGGATAGCTGCGGTTGCCCTCGACCAAATCTCTCCTCACCCACGCTGCCCCTCATTCTCCAGTCTATGAGCTGCTAGACTGTTGCTGCCCCCCCACGGAGATAGAAGGTGGCTCTCTTCCACTACTAGAACGATACGAGGACCGTCCCGTAATCGGTGGGGGTCGCCCTTCTCACAGCGACAAAGGCACACTCACTCACTCACTCACTCACTCACTTATATAGGTACACATGGACTCAACGAGACCCAGAATCCCTTGATACAGCTTACATGATGCTTCTCACAGCTTACACGACATCTCTGTACGGTGTATTGCAGTAAGTTCGATACAAGCAATCCCAGATGTAGTAGCTGCCCTGTTGCCTACACCAATCATGACGCCTTTCACATGACTCCAAGCCTTGAAAGTATCACTTCTCTTATGCACCTGTTCAGCAAAAAAAAAGTTAACTATGCACAATGCCCCCCAGCTGAGTCGCCAACTCAGTCCCAACGCCATCGAGTAGTTCAAGAGGGTATCATCTCATGTTGGAGATACATCAGGAGTGCCAGCCTGTTGAGATGCCCATTCGGTCATTTCAAACTCTTGCCCTGGCCTTCCGGCAGCGTGATCGGTCCCTTGCAGGCCCTGCTGACGCTCGATTCGTGCCACCAGCAAGTCAAAGATTCTTTCCCCGGAGCTATGCTGCCATGCCCGGCGACCTGAGAGGAAGGCATGGTCCATCTCTTCTAGTGTGTATCCCTTGGTCTCGTGAGCCGCCCAGTTGACATACAGATAGATGATCCAGTTTACTAGAAATCATTAGCTATGCCGTAGTACGTTCCCATCCCATCAACGGATCACTCACAGGGACCGAATATGAAGAATACCCATCCGCTATCAGTCTACAAATCAGCATATCCGATCAACGTTGCCACAGTACGGGAAGAAGACAAGGAGGGAAGAAGAAGATGATGAAGAAGAAAGAAAAAAACGAAAGAGTAAAGTGTCATGCTTACTCAACAACCCGCACTGCCAGTCCCAGCATGTCAGTCATCGTTCCTCACAAGAGCATCCATCGGTAGACCTGCCTAGGCTCGGCAGCCCCCAGGCCATGCCAGCATTGCATATCCAGTACACGGCCATACAAAGGCCAAACCCTCTGCTTCGAAGCCAACCCGGGAATATCTCTACCGGGTACACCCAAATGATCGGGCCCCAGGACATCGCATATGTGACCATAAACAGACAGCAGAAGATAATCATACCAAGAGAATCGCCGTGAGAACTCTTGATGGCCCAGGGTACATGGGTCTCATCAAGTCCATTGTTGTCTTTGGCCTCACTGGACGCGATCCGTCTCGACTGGAAAAGACCTGTCAACAGGTAAGCCGGCATTCTATGTGTTCCATAGCTAAGCAGGGGGGCAACTAGTCACCCATCCAAAGTAGGCAGGCCGCCATACACACGCAGCCAAGCTTCATTGTTATCCGCCGACCCCAGGAGTCCAGCCAACCGATTGCCGGCAGCGTGAAGAAGAAGGTGAGAACGTGTAGGAGCACAACGACGAGATCTGACGAGGCGAACTCTGCTCCAACCGTGACAATCATAATCTGGTCTGGGAACTGTCAGCTAAGCTCGGCGTCACCATGACATTTATCCAAGGAGCATCAGGGCAGACAGACGAAGGACCAGATGCACGCCACACAGCTGGCTCCACGCGGTGACCAGCATGCCCAACACGAGTCTTGCTCGCACCCTCTAGGTCAGCAGCTCTCGAGACGGGTGCGGCACTTGCGGTTGGTTCAGGACATCACCCTCCAGCTCGTGAAGGTACGCCAGGACGTGGGCATTCTCTCGATCTCCAGATGCGTGTAGGTCAGCAAGCAGACTCTTTGCCTCTGGCCAGCAGCCCTCCTTGGCAAGCTGCCGCGGGCTCGGGGGTACAAAGTAGCAAAAGATCAGCAGCACAACGCCGGGCAGTATTTGCATAGCAAACGAGAATCGAAGAAGATTGAGGAGTCTGGTACGCATCTCTGGATAAATCTCCAAGACGCCGCCCAAAATCGACACTTCAGCCAGCTGGCCTCCGATTTGCCCCAAGAAGCCAAGGGCGATACCCATGGCGAGGACGCTGCCATAGCAGAGACGCTCTTTGCGTCAGCATCTTGTCAAGAGCGACAACCACCAACAGCATCAAGGGGCGTTTGCGTACCTGGCAAACTTGCCTCGATTCGACCGTCCCCCAATCTCAGCCTAATCTCAAGCCCTCAGTCATCACAGCTCCCGAAAGCCAGGGCCAAGCAATCATGAGACTTGAATCGTCTTACCAGATACGGGGGCACAACAGCGCTGATGACCCCAGCCGCAATTCCGCAAATCAGTCTCCCAAAGCCCACCACTCCAATGCCCGGCGCAAGCATCTGGATGAAGCTTCCCAGTATCCAAAAAAGGGCTGCATACGCCACTACCCCCCGCGGCGGTACCGCATCGACTAACTTCCACGACAGGAGGGCTCCCATCACAGAGCCCGTGGGCATGATGGCGGCTATGAGCTCTCGCGTGTAGGGTTTGAGATGGCCCCAGTCGTGGGAGAAGGCCATGACATCGAGCTTGCCGGACATTGACGACAGGTTGAGGCCGATGATGATGCCGCCTACGCGGTGGCCCTGTCAGAAAAGAAGAAGGAAGACGGTGATGCAGATGGCAATCCGTGAGTGATATCGGAGATGAGTTGGAAGAACTCACTCAAGGCGCCAATCACCGATATACTCGGCCCTGTTCTATACTCGACCCTTTCAATGTTAGAGCAGAGGTTATTCATGATGATAATGAGACTGGCATTAAGGGAACCAAATGATGAAGAAGTGAATTATGGGTATCCAGATTGACAGCATGTGGGAGAAGCGCTGACAGATGAAAGTAAGAGAGAAGAACAAGAATCCGTGACGATGCCCTGTATATTTCTACCGAACTTTGATGAGATGGCACGTGGTAAGTCTGTCTTTCGTCGTCACTCCAACATAACTTGAGGCAGCCTCGATCTCAGCACGAGGGAAGAACAACTCAACAGATCCAAACTGTTGCCCGGGGAACATCCCAACAAACAAAGAAACTACTTCCATTTCTGTTCCACACTCTCAAAGGCATGCCGTGTTCAATGATAGACCTCCCTCTCCACAGCTCTGCATGTAGCAGCCCTGCAGTGAGAAAAATCAGGCGACCAGCATCACGAATTCATCAGACTCACCATCAACTCCGGCCGCAAAGCTGCAAGAAAGCCGTCATCGATGACAGCCATAGAGAAGAAAGGCGTGAACACTGATCAGTCAAATCCCTGCACCATAGTCAGCGTTCCCTCTCCGAATCTGCATGTCACTGTGGGATGCGTTAGTCAACAGCGTGGTTGATATATCGATCTATTCCGTCGAATAGCGCAAAGAGATAGTCTCAAATAGTCGCGATCCTGAGGGTTAATTAGCTGGCAGCCTCCAACTCCCCTGGCCAGTTCCTGAAAGAAAAAGCAAAGTAATCCGTATGAAGACATCTTCTCACCACAGGGTCCAGTTCCCCAGGCATGTTACAAGGAAGATGGTCGGAAAAAAAGATGAAAGCACAAAACGAAACAAACAACAAATCTTTCGTCCCCCGCCCATTCCTCCCCAAGGAGCATGAAGGCATCATTCAGACATGCCTCATGATAGCCAATGCACGCATTCGTAACAAAGGGTATCTGAAAACGCCAAATGTTTCATCAGTCGTTATCAAAAGGCCACGCAAAACCGGCAACTAGCGGCGGCGATTTCGGGTTTGCCGGTCGTGGACGAGTTGGAGGTAGGCTCGTTGCTTTCTGAACGAGGAGTAATCGCCTGCGAAAAGCACCTCAAGGATGTTGCCGATTGAAGGATCTGCGCCAATATCATGCATGCGACTTTGTAGATCGTCGAGTGCATCCCTAAAGGAACGCTGAACGACTGCCATATTGGATGAAGAGCCGGCAATGTCATTGGCCGGGTTGTTGGGATCGACAATGGAGAGGCGGTCCTTGTTCTTGTAGACGAAAGAGGCGACCTTGTTCTGTGACGAGGGTTAGCAGAGGGGTGGCATAGGCGCCATGCTGCAAGGAGCCTTACCTTGGGAATATAGCCAACAGGATCGACAAGAGAAATTGCGTTTGTCCTCCAGCTAAAGTCGCGACCGTACAGCCTGAAGAACTCGAGGAGCATCTCGCCGAGATGGTGTTCCGGGATGAGTGAGCCGCTCTGGACCTCGGGCATGAGCTGAAGCATGCTGACGACCAGACAGATGACGGTAAAGCCGCCCAAGCCCCCGTTAACGGGCTCGTTCAGGCCGCGCATGAGCAGATAGTGCTTGATGACGGTGACGAGCGCAGGCATTGCTGGATATTCCTTCTTCCAGCGCTGAAACGTCTCAACCGCCCTGACTCCGCCAAGGTTCTCAAAGGACACGTCCACTCGCAGGCCCGTAGCCTTGTCGACAAACTTGACCAGTGGGATTCGGGCGTGGGCAATAACCTCGATCGAATCGAAATTGGCAATGCGCTGGGAGGTCAGGAACTTGCGGAACTTGTACAGCCAGTTCTTGGCGCTGAGGTACGTGGCATCGCCGCCTTTCATAAAGCTTTCAGAGCACACGACCACGTCCATGTCGGCGGTGGGCAGATAGAGGCCCGAGACGAAAGAGCCAAACGGGAAAAGCTGGGCATTGGCGAAGTTCCGGCCATCCCTCTTCATGGCCTGACGCAAATTGTCCACCAGCTTGGCACGGATGCTCTCCTCAAAGTCACGGGGCTTGACAAACTCATAAAAATCAACAATCTCCTTGTGCAACCTGACGCTGCGTGGTTAGCATGCGCCATGCATGGCCTACCCGCCGAGAAAAACAAAGAACGAGGGCGAAACCGACGACTTCTTACCGGAAAGCCATATCTGTTGTCGCAGAATGGTCGGTGGTTGCCCATGGGCAGCGCTCTTCGTCATCCTTGACTCTCCACTCGGGGACGATGTGTCCTCTGGAAGGTCCCATGTTGCCTTTGTTCAGCTTGTAATCAGGCGGTTCGATGATTTCGTCGTCGTAAGTCCGTTTGCGAGAGCCTAGGGGACCAGGGTCTGCAGAGCCTTGAGGTGCGGCAGGTTTGGGCGGCAGAGAGTGCGTATTAATACCTGCAGTCCAAGGCCTGTTGCTCGAGGCAGTTGCTGAGGGAGGCGGCGGTGGTGGTGGCAGTTTGCCCAGAACTTTACTGGAAAGTTCAACTTTATCAGGCGGCGGGGCTGGTGGCTTGGATGCCGCAGCGGCTTTGCTAGCAGGTTTGCTGTCGTCCTGGTCCTCGTGGCTCTGGGCTTCGTCGTCGCTAAAGTCAAAAGAGAGAAAGTCTTCAGCCTCGGTTGGCGCGGCTGGCTTGGCTGCGCTATCTTCCAGCCTCGCTTTGCGAATCAGCTTCACCACGTCTCGCTTCTTGCGGGTGGACTCGTCCGGGCAGGGAAGCGCCGTGTACGGATCTGGGTTGGACCACTTGGGGGCTGCATCGCCGGACTCATCGGCCGCAGCGGTGCGCGTCCTTTTCTTCGCAGGTTCTTCCGTCTCCGATTGCGACGAAATGTCCATGTCCCGCTCGTCGTCGTCCGACAGCTCGTCCACGTCACGGTACTTGGCGCCTTCGCCGCTGTAGAGGCTCTCTTCAGGCAGGTTAGTGGCATTGCCAGCTATCAGGGCGCGCTCCGAGTGATGGGGCGGGGGCTGCCAGCGCGGCCTGCCATTTCTTCGGGGGGGGAAATCCCCCCTCCCGCCTCGTGCGTCTCGTCGCGGATGCCGTGGATACGACGGCTGGCCGGCAGGCGCAGAGTTGGCGATGCCAGCTGGCTTCTGGACACGAAACGTAAAGTCGCCCTGGGGAACATTTGGGCGATATGAATCGCCGCCTCCGCGGTCGTCGCCGTACGGCCGCGGGCGCGCCTCGGGCCGGCGGTCGCCCTGTCTGTCGCCATTCCGTCTGCTGTAGGAGTCGTGATAGGGCCTGTCGCGCGGCTGAGAGAAGCGCGGTGGTGAGCGTCGGGGAGCATGGCGATTCCTGTCATTGCCGTAGCCGTTTTGCGAGCGGTCCTCGTTCCGCCGCTGTGGCTTGTTGCGCACCATGTTTGCGCGTCACTGTTCGACTGTTCAGAACAGCAGAAGTTGGAGCCTTTTAGAGTCGGCTGCAGTCACGCGACGAAATGGAGATGCGGAACGCTGCACTTCTTCACCAAACAGAGAGGCGATGATGAGGTATTGACGCGATCTGAAGTTGGGCTGCCCAGGTTAAAATGTGGTTGCAGTTATCGCTTATCGGTTCGTAGATTTTTAGCGATAAAGGCGCCCGCTACTTGCATATGATCCACATCAAATTCCACAACTTGAGTCTAACGAGGGTTATATAGCTTCGGGGCGTTTTACGAGATGCTTCATCTCACAATCCTCGGTTCAAGGGCAGGACTGAATTTATTTTTGTATCGGCCGTCTCAATAATTGTTTCTGAGCGCCGGAGAGTGTATAATTATGATTGTTTTACCTCGCTTATGACACTTAGGACCGACTTGAGGATTGGGCTGTCTTAATGAACTCTACTACTTACCTACCTAGCATTATGCTTTAGGGCTGGCCTATTTATAGTAGGAACGTTAAAATGATCTAGCAGAAAACTGTGAAACTCAGAAAGAATAGAAGTAACTGCGTTTGATTACTCAGAAGTGCCGTAAAGACGAGACAGAATAGCCGGCCAGTCCTGTTTCTTCGCCCACTCTTCCCATGTTGTCATCGGGCAGTCAATGCCAGCCTAGATTCACCATTGATGTAAGCGCCTAATCCCAGACAGAGTACTATAGCAAGGGAAAGGAGAAGACAAACTTTTCTGATATCCTCTGCTTGCAAAGGATTCATGCCACCGTCATAGCCGGGATTCGAGGTATACAGAAACATGTCGGTAATCTCCCCTCCAAGCTGCGGCTCTCCACAGGCCGCAATCATCTCCTCGGGAGAAACCTGCCTGTAACTCGCCGGGATTCCGGTAATCTTGCTCCATGTCTCGATAGTCTCGGGCCAGGTGCAATTTGTGCCGGCGGCCATGTAAGACTTTCCGGGGGGCATCTGCCAGACGGCATATGTGAATGATCCCATGTCGTCGACTGGAGCGAGCTGGGGGACTACTTTTGTAGGATCTGTGGCAAATGCCATTTCGACTCGACCGTCAGGAAGCTTGTATCCGGGTTAGATGGGATTTGCAGCAAGTTCACCAGAGATTTTGTTTTGGCGAGGTTTCGTCAGGAACTCATGAAATGAGGAAGACAGATGGAGTGATGGAGTCACAAATCGTCAAAACTTACTTTACCAAAGTACGACTTGGGCAGGATGTTGAAGCTGGTATAGAAGAACCCCGTCTGGATGCACGACATCTTCCCCGCCAGCTCAGGATAATGCTCCTCGACATACGCCGGAAAGACGTCCGCCTTGGCATCAAAGTGATACAGCTCCTTGAACTTGCCGCCGCTGCACTTTCCCGCATGGCTCAGCGTGGAAACGAGGAATCCGTTGGCATCGAGCGAATCCACAAGCTTGGCGGCGGCATCGGCAATGTTCTTTCCATGACGATACTCGGCCTCGTAGGCAAACCGCCGGTACGAGATGCCCTTGGCCTCGGCTTCCTTGCGGCACGCCGGGTGGAAGAAGGGCTCCCAGTAGTCGGTGACGCTGAAGATGACGTTTGCTCCGGCAAAGGCCCGGTCGAGGCTGGCCGGGTCGTCGAGGTTGGCCTGGACCACCTCGGCGCCGCGAGAGGCGAGTTCCTGGGCGGCGGGAGAGGCAGGATTGCGCGTGAGGCCTCGGACGCGGAACCCAGCTGCGAGGAACCGACGGGCCACGGAGCCGCCCTGGTTGCCGGTGGCTCCAACGACGCAAATCAGCTTATCTCCTCGGGAGCCCATTGTTGCTGCGAGCTTCGGGCTGACGATCTGTAGTGCCGACAGGTGGAGAGGTGCTCGCGGAGGATTGTCGTCGGGCGTTGGATAAAGACGATGCAGAAGCGGCTCAGTTTGGAAACTTGCCGTCCCCACTGCAGAGACGGGAGGAAAGAGAATGGGAAATAGTTAAAGGGCGGAGATCCATTCACACGACAAAAGGAAACTCGCGGACCCAGCATCAATCGCCTGGACCAATATCCAGGCCCGTAGCCCCTCACCAGCTCCCCCAGCTGGCCGGGCCCCTTGGGACGGCCAAGCATCATTCAATAGTTGTCACAAGCATCAGTCAGGTATTTTCCCAGGGCAAAGCAATCGAAGCGTCATCAGCTGCAGGGAAAGAGAATAGTACTATGACACTAGTAGACGACGACGCTCTTGGATTGGACTCTCTATAATCACAAAGTACATATGTACGGTTCAGTCAACTGGACAAAGAGGGAACTACCTAGAACGACATACATCTTGAGAGCGATGTAATATTGGCGGAAGCTCTGCTCATTCCAGGCCGCACGAGCAAACAAAAGGCAACCCAACGGAGCCCGCGAAAGCACTGTTCCCAGCCTATAGTTTGTGATAGTCAAGTACCAAGCAACAGACGACGGTGCGTAATCCTACCTACGCATGCATGTCCCTACTATGGGGCAATGCACTATTCAGAGGGAAATCGGCCCCAAATCTCGCATGGTCCCCGTCCCAGTACCATGGACCAGTCCCTTCCCAAGCGACGGCTAAACAGGCCACATGCAGAAAAGCCAGCCGGGTCCAAGGGGGGGGTTCCGCTGAAGAAATCGTGTGGAGACGGCCGAGATGAACCGCATGCCTCAGTCGGCCTATTAGGAGCCTCAATCACGGTCCTGGCAGCCCACTTGCATCTTTGTTGGTCCGGCCAAGCTTTGCGAGAGTGGCGTGAGGGCGGGATGCGACGGCGAGGAGAGAGAGGACGATGGAGGGCTTGCAGATACTAAACACTACAGGGGCTGACGCGTGTAAGAGGGAGAAATGGCCGCACATGCGCCGGGTTCGGATACTTTTCCATGGAGCAATGGGTGAATTTGTCGACAAGAATACCTTAAGCAACAAACGAAGAGCGCACATGATATTGACTCTCTGTAGTCTTTCGAAAGCCACATACATGGTATAGCAAGGACAACTCCCAACCGTAGCATCAACAGTGAGAAGGTGCCTATGAACACACCCAACACATGATTGATGATTACGATGGAAACATCTCATGACCGAGCATCAAAAAAGGCCCATAAGATTTCTTTTCAAAGCAGATTGCGCTGCTGCTAGCTCGTATATGTCTTAGCCCTCCCGAGGCCGAAAAGGCCGGGAAGCAGTAAGCTTCGCTCTCCCGCAAGCGGCTCCCCGCCCCAACCCGAAATTCCTTTGCTCCGTCCAGGCACGCTGGTGGCCCCCATGAAGATTCAGGATTGTCACTTCCTTGGCCGCGAGAAGGGAAGGGCAGTGGGAGATTGAGTCCTGCGAAAGCGAACGAAAGAAAGCGCATCTACTACATATCAGCGCCCGGACTGCAAACCGCGAGAGCCAGGGTGGTTGTGTGCGAAAACTGCGACTAAACCCAAACGAAACGAAGAATCCAAGGGCACACTACATTATCAACGGACCAGGTCACATCTGCCGCGACAGCGAGACCATGGCATCGCCTGTGGGAAGGGGCAAGTCCCCGTCCACTTCGCCCAAGGGCCAGCAGACATGGTCGGCATCCGCGTCCGGGTCGCCGCGGCATTCGCCGTCTCAGTCTGCCGGGCCCGCGACGGCTGGGACTCCGCTGGCCGGGCTGGTGCATGGCGATGCGGACAATCCCGTGCCCGTCCAAGTCGATGTGAGTGATTGTCACGGGAGTCGAGATTCTGCGAGGGCCTGCCGCCGTCTACATGTACATCGACATGTAGTGCGCTTGGTGTAACGTTGGCCTTGGCCATCATGGAGGTGGCAGTAGAGGCCAAGATGGAGACGGGGAGAATGGATCAGAGAGAAAGACGCATCATCATCATCATTACAGTCGCTTACTGAACCTGGGACCCCAGACCGACGCGTATCCCGACAACCCGGCCGACGCCGACTCGACATACGGCTCCGACCAGGACTCGGCCTACACCGGCTCCGTCACGTCCTCCATCTACAACTACCGGTACGAAAACGGGCGCCGCTACCACGCCTACCGCGAGGGCCAGTACGTGCTCCCCAACGACACGCAGGAGCAGGAGCGCCTGGACCTGCAGCACCACATCTGGCGCCTCCTCATCGGCGGCCGCCTCTTCACGGCGCCGCTCCCTCCGCCCGACGACGGCGACGCCGCCGCGCTGCGCATCCTCGACCTCGGCACCGGCACCGGCATCTGGGCCATCGACATGGCCGACGAGTACCCCTCGGCCTCGGTCTTCGGCGTCGACCTGTCGCCCATCCAGCCCGAGTGGGTGCCCAACAACTGCCGCTTCCACGTCGACGACTACGAGGACCAGTGGACGTACACCGAGGACGAGAAGTTTGACTACATCCACGGGCGCGCGCTCAGCGGCACGTCGGCCGACTGGCCGCGCTTCTACCGGCAGGTCATGCACAACCTGAAGCCCGGGGGCTGGCTCGAGATGCAGGAGTATGATGCGTGGATCTTCAGCGACGACGACAGCTGCGACCGCGCCCCGTGGACGATGGAGTGGGTTGACAAGCTGGATGCCGCGAGCAGGTTGTACGGCAAGCAGATCAACGTGGCGAGATTCCAGAAGCAGTGGATCATTGAAGCCGGCTTTGAGGATGTCGAGGAGAGGGTATACAGGGTGCGTTTTATCCATTGACCTTTTCGTTCCAGAACCGCTGTCAGGCCAAAGGGAAAACATTGAACCAAGCTAACTTTTGTCCATACGCAGATACCCATCGGCCCATGGGCAAAGGACCCTACGCTCAAGGAGCTCGGCAAGTATGAGCAGACGCACATGCAAATGTCGGTCGACTCGCACACGCCCGCCCTCTTCACCCGGGTGCTCAACTACTCCAAGGACCAGGCGGACGTGCTGATGGAGGGCGTCAAGCGGGAGTTTCGGAGCCGCGACCTGCGGCTGATTACCTCGTACCGGTTCATCATTGGGAGGAAGCCTTTGAATGCGTAAAGCTAGGATTTGTACATTGTAACATACGAGGCGAAGGGATTGACTGGGTATGATGGGCTGCATGAATAAAGATGTGTGGTGGTTTGGTCTTTTGGTTTCGTTGTTAAGCGTATCTGGGCAGGGAATTCGAACACGGCTTGTTTTGGTTTTCGATGAGGGTAGTCATCTTCGCAGTTGTATGATGAATACGAAGGAGCATGAGCTGCAACAATGGAGTGAAGCCGTCTACTGTTACACATCACATATCATACAAATACCGGCGACGCAGCCTCAACTTCTGATACACTCCAAGTATCAGATACCAGGCCCGAACTCGTACACGCGCGTCCATACAAGCCTACACATTATTACTGTACATACAGTTAGGTTGTCGAACTGTTTGCCCATCACTCCTCAGCAGCAGCAAGTCCAGCCGCAGAAAGCAAGGGTGGCTAGACAGGAGTGCCTTGTCTCCCTCTATTGGTGAGATGAGAAGAGGTCATCTGCAGACCCTTTGCATTAGCTGTCAGCACGCGCGCGAGGCGGCCTTGGGGGAAATGCTGGCTGGCTGCCTTGGGAGAGGTGGGAGTGTGGGCGTTTGGGCTGCGTCGGGTTTTGGATTGTTTTTATTATATGTGGCCGATATGTGGAGTGATGCTGCTCGAGTTGATGCGAGTTGTAGAAACTTGAAGTTGTTAATGTTTGATACGATAACACTCGGACCTTGAGGTACACATGCTTCGCATGTTTTTAGAGCACAGAGAACGACAACACCATCGCGAACCAACTCTCATAGCAACACAGATAGCATAGCACAGCCCCCGTGGCGCCCACGAGGCTGCGCCCAGCTGAGGGGCACGAATTCAATCACCGTCTTGACGTGTAATACTATCAGGCGTGCATACTCCGTACACTTAACCTACCTTACCTACATGTACCTTACATCTACTAGCACCTCCAAACACAGCCCAAGTCAACCACCCCCATCCGCGCCTCATAGGGCTCAATGCGGCTGATTAGAGACTTGATTCCACGGCTACCTATCCGTCAAGCTCGATTTTTATTAGTGCCATGTGCCCTTTTTCCCGGCATCTGATCCAAACCAGTCTTTATCCTCGCCCAGGCTCGCGCGCACCCTACAAACCCAAGAATCTTCTATAAATATATATTCTTATTTACCCTTCTTCTAATCGATACTCGCCAATCATCTTCTGAGCAAGGATACGGACACAGAACAGCAGCAAGATGAAGTCCACCGGGGCCTCGCAGCGCGCCGCAGAAATCACGAGCGCGATGCTCAGCGTCCCGGGCTACGCAGACGACACGATGCTCTTCATGATGCGATACGGCTCACTGGCCCGAGTATGTCACTCTACTTTTTTCTTTGTTCTTTCTCCGTCAAACGGCAACCATTCCCCGTCTCCATCAAACATGATCTCACCGCGGGTCCCACCGCAAAGTAAGACGACGGGGAGAGAGGCCTGAACGCTTTTGGGCGTTTCTGCTCGCTTTCTGAGGGGGCTGGATGGTTTTGTGACCTGATTGACGATGATGATGATTCGACTTCATGTTGCCCTGAAGACGAAACAGTCTCGGCTACGTGAACAAGGCCATACAACTCAGGATCCTTCGTCCAATGTCAACGTGTGATGAAGAGACACACTTAGCCGTCAATTACGAGGTCTCGCCATCCCGCATTGGCCTGCCCTCGCACGAACTCAACCCTCATCATCATCGTCCGTCTTCCCAGGTATCAAGTGATGCCTCGCCCCCTCTTCCCCCCGCAGATGTCCTCTCACTACATGTATCCTTGAACTTCCGTACATCCTCCCCATAAGGTACCTAAGCACAGCACCCGTCCCCTGGAGACAAATACTGTAAGGAAAAAAGACTGACGAGGCCTACTAACCACTGCGTTTCCGGCATCTCGCCCGCCCGTACAGGAGACGCTCCGCAAAGTCGACTGGGATGAATTCCAAGTGCGCCTGTCGGCCCTCAACAAGCACTGGTTCGCCAGCAGAAGCAGCGGCTGCCGCGGCACCACCACCGCCGTCAACAACGGCGATGGCGAGACTGCCTGTACAACAGCTGCCAAAGATGGCACTACTACTGCCACCTCTACTACCACTACTGCTGCTGCTGCTGCTTCTGCCGCTGCCGATTCCGGCGTCGAAGCTGAAGCCGAAGCCGAAGCCCAAGAGGCCCACGACAGCAGAACCGCCGAGCTCAGGGCCCGGACGCTGGAGCTGGTCCAGGACTTTCCGCCGCTGGTGCGCGATTTCGACAAGTTTGTCGACTGCACGCGGATAACGGCGATGCGGTATGGCAGAGGAGGAGGAGGGTCCCCATAGCAGCAACTTATCCTGTGTATTTCCGATAAAGTAAAATGCCTAGGTAGTAATAAATTAAAGAAATAAAAGGTAATATACATTGTATCAAAGCCAACAAGTTCCCCCATTCCCATCCACGCCAAAACGTCCGTGCAAAGAAAAAAACGAGGGCTACACTTCTGCCAACATGCACACCTGCAACAACAACAACAACAACCACAACCGGAAACAAGAATCAAGTCGTATCCAGCAAAGGGCGGTTTGCGAAATTGCTTCAATTTCAGAAAAGAGCCGCAGCCCGTTTCTAGAACTGCTGTCAATACCAAACCAGGGAGCATCAATCGCAAATCATCTCACATGCACCTTTGTCCTGCCGTCATCCAGTCCACTGAGCTAGCTATTGAAGCTATCATCACACAAGTGATCACCTGCACTCTTCACTCAAATGTAGCCTTCATGTTGTTTTCATTTTCCGCCGAAAAATAGGACTACAAACAGCCATCAACACGGGGCACAATCGCTTCCACTTTCACACAACCAAGCAACAAGTTTCTAGGGAATTGCCTTTGCATTGTGAAATTACTATTATCTGGGTGAACGAAATTCTCGGGCGGATCCAAAGAAAAATTTCCAACCAACTCGCTCGCAGGCGTAGAAGAAGAAACAAACGCTGTTTTTTCTCTCCCTGCTCGTCCCCCCATCCTCATCTCCTCCCAAAAAAAAAAGCGACCGTAAAAAGAAACAGTCCTGTCAGAAATTTGAATTTCGTATCACATCTTGCCGGCGCATCACACAATAGGAAGCCCAAGAAAGGGTAAAAGTAAAAGAGAAAAGAAAAAAAGCACATAATTATTTCCATATCCAATAGAACAATAAGTAGAAACGCCATCTTTCCCGTTGGCGAAACATCTCTAGATGATGTCGCAACTTTATGCAAAAGTCGAGAAGTAGCAAAAAAAAGAGAAAAAGTGTAAGAGAAGTCGGTTGTGAGGCGGAAAAAGCAAAAAAGCACCAAAAATGTTTGCCGCGCCAAATCCCCTCATATTTCCCACCGAAGCCAGTCCGTTTGGTATAATTGAAAAGCCGAAAAGAAAAAAGGCGGAAGACCCGGTTTCATAGTTGTTTTTTTTTCTGCGGCTCCCGGACAGTCCGGCTCCGGGAAGGAAAAAAGAGGAAATCTGGGTTGGGAGTGTTTGATTTTGAAAGAAGCGATAGGTATATCCTTTATCCCATTTGCTGTGGTCGTAATAAAGCAAAAAGTACCGCTCTTCTCCTCCCAAGACTTCTAATGCCGGCAAACTAATTGACCTTCTTTTCCCCCTCCATCCCCGTCATCCCGTCCAGTGTCCAGTCCATGATGTTTTCCTCCTCCGGTCCCCCCAAGTTCAAGGGGAAAGGGTTCGAAAAATTAAAGTTGAGAGAAATCGCTTAGAGGCTGGCAGCGAGGACGGCGGCGGCACCGACACCGAGGAAGATGTTCTGGCTCAGGGAGTTGGCACCGCTGGTAGGGGCGGTGGTGGGAGCACCGGTGTGGGTGCCGTTGGTGCCGGTGGTGGGAGAGGCAGAGCCGCCGGTCTGGGCCATGGCGGAGGCAGCGAAGATAGCGATAACAGCGGCGGCACGCATTTTGAAGGTTTGGTTTTGGTGGTTTTGGGGGGGTGGTTTGGTTGTGTGGTGGTTGAAGTTTGGAAGAGTTGAACGAATGTAGACTTCAGTTGGATTGTGCGTGGGTTGATGGGAAAAGAAAAAAGAAGAAGAGAAAGAGGCTCCAGCTGAGACCGAACGTCGGGCTCGCTTTATATCTCGGGGCTGATGGGGAGATGGCGGATGGGGATGGGGGATGGGATGGGATGATAGAGAGCAGCCCCCCCCCCCCTGCCATGGCACAGCGAGGGAAAAGGAGCCCACCCACCCACCAGGCTCATGCAAACGCGCACGCCCCTGTCTATCCTGCCCATCCTGCCCACCGCACCCCTGACGAGGCGCCGGGGGCAGGGATCAGGGGATTGGCCGCCCACTGGGCATGCGTTCAGAGGGCTCCATGGTTTTGCGTCCCAGCAGATCACCGCCTTAGTCATGTTGCTTGCTCTGCTGCTGCTGCTACTGTCCTCAGTGCTGCTTCGGCTGCTTCTGCTGCTGTGCTGGAGGCTGGTTATCGCGTCATGTCGCCACTTTGCCTGTTGCGGCTGTGAGGTGGTGTGTGTGCTACCCGGGCCCGGTATCGTCACTGTCACTACCTGATGACTCGGATGTACTCATTCGACCACAAGATAAAGCCGCGAGGTACATGGCGTCTACCGGGGCCGGTCACTCGTAGGTACATTCCGCAAAGAGGCAATTGGCATGGCTGCTGGCTTGTCCGTGTGAGTCGCTTGCCGGGGCTGTGGATAGCAGCGTGGTGGCAGAACAGCAAGGGTCTCTTTTTCCCTCGTTGCCACTGCGAGTTTACAATGTACTCGTACGAGTACTACAAGCAACGGCACGGAGCATGAGGTGCAAAGACTTGTACATACTTTACACAGCTCATTGACACTGGATATTATTACTTTTGCACATGCAGCATAGCCCCCCCATGTCATACCGGCATCCAACCAATCGATATATATAGAACAAGGGCAGATTACAGTACTGCACGGCTTGTGCCAGCACCTGAGCCCGCCTCGTTAACCACCTACCGCTAGCGGCATGTACGGTAAGCACTTTTAATTACCGGACGGGCAGATATTTCGATTGATTCAAGTCAAGTCAATCATGCCAGTTACTCGTACTGTAGCAGTAATTGCAAGTTACATAGCATGTAGAATGTCGGAGCCGGAGGTGAGGGCGTAAGGCAGTACTTCGGAGCGCAAAGCACCTACCCGTTGTCGCCCATGCGCGTGCAGTATTACCGAGCGGCAGAAGTGAAACTGAACTGAATGGACGTCTTACGCGTACGCAAGCCTCTTGATCTGAAAGCCGACCGGAAGCCCCGAGCAGTTCCGTTGGCCTTTTTCCGTCACTGTGTCTATTATTGAGGTCCAGTGCTTTTGTACGAAAGTAATTTCATGCTCTCTGTGATAGTATTAGCATTGCACGCCTGGGTATGTAGTAGTGTACTTCTCGTTGTTGTGCCGCCCCGGTTGAATGGATTCCTGTTGCGGCGGCCATTCCAATGCTACCTGTACGCACCACTACCCCAAGGCGTACCGTACCTTTCTTCAATTCGTATCGTGCTGGAAGGTCACTGAAGCTGAAGGAAGAGAATCGATACCTGCTACTACGAGTAGGTGGGAGGGGGGGCGTGAATGGACTGGAAGCAAGAAGAAAAAAAAGGGGATGCTCAGACAAAAGCCCGATTGTCCTTGTGTTGCAAGATTAGGCCTAGCTAACACCTGCTGCCCTCCCACGCGGCGAGATGGAGATTGCGATACGATGGGCCAGGAACAAAGGGACGGGAGAGGCAAAATTCTGTCTCTTCTTGTTTTTAGAGTTGTTTTATGTACTTGCAGGAAAAGGAGATTGGAATGAGAAAAGCTTGAGACAACACACACAACGCCAAACCATCGCCATGTACTCCGTATCTGCATCTGCAACCCGAAGCGTCGTGCTGTGTAACTGGAAGCAGCCCATCGGGATTTTCTTGCTGCTGCTGCTGCTGCATGATGGCTGAGGGCAGCCAACGAAAATGTCACCAATCGGACTGGGCCTTGTGCTTCCCCATGCCTTTTCTTTCATTTTTGTGCGATAACAGCGCCTAAAACAACAGAAATCTAGACAAGGAACTGGGAATCAAGGAAGCTGGGCAAGATGTCACAGCAGCCGCGCCGTATGTGCTGGAAGTTACCTTGCATCGACGACAATCCAATGCGAGTTGACTGCCTTACTAGCCGAACCACACACCACACCACACCACACAAGATACTAGCCTTATCTCTGGTCTTCTGTTTTCGTTCTGGCGCTATCTCTGGCTGTCGACTATCTCGTCGACCTGCTTATCCGCCCCTACTAGCTCAGCTCAGCTCAGTCCAGCCTGGGCTGCATCAAAACAGCCGCCCATCATCAACACCAGCAAGTCAGCCCAGCCGCCCGCTTTCATCCGTCCAGCAACGACATCATAAGATAAACAACAGTCACGGCAGCAGCAACGAAGACGCAATGAGAAGCCCTTCCCACATCCGGCGCAACTGGCCAAAAGCCACCCGTCTGCCCGCCCAAAGAGTCAAGCCACTTTTGGATCAGCCCAAGCCAAAGAGCCCACCACACAGCTCCACCGCTGCGACATTCGAACAAGTTGTTGTACGGAGTATTTTCCGCCTCTTTTTTCTTCTCTCTCTCTCTCTCTTTGTTCGTCTCGCACACATGGCTAGTGACCCCGGCCTCCCCTCTTCCACATCATCTGTCGCTTTTCATCCATGTTTTTTATGGGGAGGGTGTGGCATACGCGTCATCAGGCAGACGGATGAGAAACGAGCCACAGCCTTTCCCACTCCGAAGCGAAGCAAGACGGCGCCTAGATAGATAGGCAAGATACTAGGTAGGTAGCCACTTCAAGATGGTCGCACTCGAGCTTCCCATCCAGACTTGTACAAAGAAAAAAAAAGGCGCCATTCACAACACGAAAACAAAAAAAAAACTTGGAACAGCCAGGACGGAAAAGGAACAAGAGGGAAAAGGGTCAAAAAGCGGGCGGCTGGAGTGGGCCAGCAGCAGCAGCAGACACATTCCACTGTCTCTCTCTCTCGTCGTGCTGCCTCTCTTCCAAAGTCACCGATATGGCTCGTGGCTGGTGCGTAGATAACGATTGGGCCCTGGCAATGGCGTGACTGGAGAGAGATTTGGCCAATGCTTCCCGATGCTTGTCTTGCTCTTTCTCCTGCCTTCTGCCCTGCTCTGCAGACTGTTACTGTAACCTTGTAGTATGTACTCGTATGTACTACTCGTACAACCAAACGAACGGCCATCACAGCATCTGATGTGCTCTCCTGTTCGCTCGTCACATCGCTACGGCGGCCATTGCAACCCCGTTGTGCAGCATTGTAACATGTCGTGTACATATTTCAGCGCGCCTTGCTCGTATCATGACGGCGCTTTGATGAAGGTGGCACTTTGACTGCGTCTCATTTTCTTTTTTCTTTTCTTTGCCTTGCGCTTCGTTGGTGCTGGGCAAGGTGTCCCTGTGTCTCTCTCGTCCATTTCCCGCACCCGTCTTGGCCCTGCCGTCCTCCCCGGCTGGCTGTTTGTTGCTACATGTATGTACCCTGGCACTTGTACATTACCATCACTGCCGGCAAAGCTGGCAAAGAGCAAGGCAAGGTACATAAGGTACCTACTCATAGTGTCCCGTACCGCCCATCGCCATTCGTCCAATTCCCTTGAAACAACGCAGCTCCCCTTTCTAGGTACATCTCTCTTCTCTTCTTCTTCTGCCACTGTACGTATGTACAACTACGCAGCACACAAGGGACAGGGGTGTATGTGTATCAATCAAGAAAGAAAGGAGAGAGAGAGAAGGGCAAAGCAAAGCAAAAAAGAACGCAAGATTAGCAGTGGAGACAGAGGGCTCCAGTCCGGTGGATCGCCCTCAAACCGCCGTGCGTCTGCCGATCGGGGATGGGAAGCAAAAAAGCTTGGCCTGTTTCTTGTTCGTTCGCCTGTTTGCTTGATGTTGATCTTGTTGCTTTTTTGATAAACCCTCAGACGTTGTTGCTCCATAGTACTGTCGGCCTGGGTCATCCAGCCTATGAAGCTGGGCAGCTGGGATTGCTGATATGGGGAGAGGGGGCCTTGATGGGGTTGAGATACGTAGTAGTATGGGGAGGGATGGATGCGTGATGTATGTATGTACGAGGGGTTGGGAGATGACTGGACTGGATTTGGACTGTGCTTTGTGTGACAACGGGCGCGCATCTGGATGACTAGATGAGGCAGATGAGATGACTCGGGATGCAGTAAGCATTGGAGGGATCCAGGGACTCGCCGTCAAGTTCCCCTGGACGCCGGTAGATCTCTCGATGCTTGCACACCAAGAGTATTCTCTACATACTGTACACTAGATGGCTAGATACATACATTGAAGTTGCAGTAGTAGCTGAGCATGCACAACGGGTGACAAGTCAAAAAAGGAACATTGAAAGTGAAAATCACCGAAAGTTGCCCCCCCATGAACCCGTCACCGTCACAGCACGAGCAGCTCGCAGCCAGCCAACGACGACAACGACACGACTCAGCAGCGCTCCGGCATATGGGTGAAACGCTGCCGAACCGGCTTCGACGGGGATGGGGGG